AGGAACTGTCTTTTTGCAAAGTTTCAAGTGCCATCCTTGGATCCTCTTGGCCTAAATAAATGAGCAGATATGTTGGATCATTTTTTTCTCATGACAGCTTTTCTTGCTGTGAAATCCAGCTCTTGATTATTGAAAACTTAACGGCTTAATGGTGTTTTGACTTCCTGTATCCTCCTCCCCGAAGATATGCATGCTTCTCAAGTGCAAGAGCACAGACTTGGACATGTGTGGGCAACCAGTGGAGATGGCTCAGACCAAGTTTGAGATGTTCTCCCTCAGCAGCACATTTGGCACCAACTATGTCTTTCTAGAAGTGTTGTATAGCTGAGTGCAGCTGGCCCCTGGGGAGTTTGAGGTAATGGGGCACCCTTGTGAGTTGTCAGTTTGTAACACAAATGGTCAAAAACTTGGTAGTTATCAGTATCCTCTATTTCATTAACTGCCTTGAGATTTCTGCCTGATTTTCCTGGATGTATTCATACAGCAGGTCCATCCTGCCAATTCCCTTCTTCCCTGTCCCCCCAAATCTCCTAGAACAAGATCTCCCTTAGGACAGAAGTGTATTTTTTTTTCAGACTTCATGGTAGCTCCAGTTGAGGTACGAGCTCTCTCACCTAGATCAACATTATTAAATATTTTTTTTTTTGTGCTTGCCATGCAGTAGTACTGCTGTGATTATGTTCCTGCTTGTTTTACTTTTCTATAACTAGGTGCTATCTGATGGATGTGTGATAAGTTGGACTACTACATCTAAGCCAATTTTAAGTGTAACACCCTTTGGGAGGTGGTATGATAAGGATCCTCCACACATACAGCAAGTTTCTCTGTGATTTCACTGTAGATCCTTTAATATTTAATCTCCTTTTTCTGTAATGCTAATGAATCATAATTTTAATTAATGTTAAATAATGGTAATACTCATAATGGCATTCTATTTCTCAAGTTCCCTTATCTAACAGGGTAGTCATTGCACACTGATTTATTGACTTGATTTTGCAGCAAAAATAAATTACTCTGTTGGATGGTTATGTTTGTGTTTTTATGTAGTCACTTTGTCATGGGCTTGGCCTTGGCACTGGGGACAATAGAAAATACAGGTGGCTCAGAATGAGCAA